CTATATATCGCTTCAAATCACCTCACTTAATGATATAACGTAGAGATACTGTCTGTATAAATGACATAATAAAGGCTTTGGTTTTTTTGCAATTTACGCAAGTCAAAAGGCTCTCCAAACCCATTAACTAAAATCTTAACAACTTGGAGGAAGTAGACAGAAACCGTTCTCATAAACACTTTCAGCAAATTACATCCAACCTGCCAATTTCTACAAACGAATACCCTCACCGCTGGTATACAAAAAGTAATTCCAAACACCGGGAATGAGTTGAAACAATCATCGTTGGTAATTGGACTTCCGTATCTGATATGGATGAATATAATTGATCTGACAATGTGTCAATCGAGGGGCAACTTTTGATCTCATTCCCTGACCTACTATGGTTGTGACGGTGCCGAGGCGATATCGTGAAATCGATATTTAATTGGCGTTTTATGGCAAAGTTTGGTAACACTTAATTTCACTTTGCATTACAGCCAAATCGATATCAATTTGATAATGCTCTGTGATCGGTCTTCAAATCGTTGCTTTGCAGAATTTGAACAATTCTTAATTAACTTTGAAGTGAATTCTAACATTTATCGCATTAAAAATGTCTAAAGATCGTTTCTTGAGATCTGGTGACCAAATAAGAACAATCGGAATAAAAAAGTTCGTTGATTTTTTCATTGCACGGACTTATGAGTAATAAATAAAGCTTTAAAATTTTATTAAGACACATTAAAATAGGTAGAATAGAATTAAATCTTGTGAAAAAGGCCAGAAACAAAAGAGAGGGGGGGGGGCAATTTAAGAACTTTAAATGCTAATATCATTTTTAAGGGTTTTATAGCATCTCTAATCAAACATAAACATAGGAGACCACTCACTTTAATTCTATCAACATAAAGTTTTAATGAACGATGAATTTTCGATCAATGAGGATTATAGAGATGTTTTATTAACTATTTTCTGCAAGCATGCTAGGTCACACCCACATTACTAGATTCGGATTGGTCAGGTAAGCACGCAGGAATTTAAGTTTCACAACGCGGGGTGTGCGATAGACTTACCTCCACGTGGTGCACCCTGGGCAACGTATACTCATGCGGCAAAAAGATCTATACACTGGCAGTTGACTTCTTACCTCAAGCTACAATGGCCCCACTGTATGTCATATTCTACCACTCCACAGTACTCATCTCTCTTTTTTCCCTGCCTTTGTGTCTGTCTATCTCTTTTGCATCTTTGAATCTCTCATCTGCTCACCCTCTCGAATTTTTCTCACTTTGATGTTCCTCCCTAATGATAACTATCAAAGCGCCTACCATTTGATATAAATAAATAAATAAGTTTCACAAAGCTTAGGTAAGTTTAAACCAACAAGTGAAATGTAGATTGGACCCAAAGTTCTTTATTTTCGCTCAAAATTGGAACTTAGCTGCTGTTAAAATATATATGCTATTTGGTAATAATGCATACATCACTTTTGAAAGGAAGTTGATTCCTAATTCCCTAAGATTAGTTTATAATAATACAAGTAATAGTGATTTTCACATATGCCCAAAAAACGTAAAATAAATTATCAACATTGGTTAAAAATTATCTTAAATTACAGGGATCTGTAATGGGGTAATTTTACTTCCTCATGGGTGAAGTACACAAGATAAAAGGTTTACTTGCAGTTATGCCCAATTCTCCCCTGAAATGCTTTCTGTTCAACTTAACGATTCCATCATCCCGAAAAAATTGGACTGTGCCATCGTTACTTTTTACATCAATATCCTGCATCATCCAAAGTGAGGAGTATTGATGATTTGCCCTACTTCAAGAGTGGAAGGCTAGTTCACCACTGTTCTCTTAGCACATGTATCAACAGAGTAGAAGTTCTTCCAGAGCAGCAAATATTAAGTTGGAAATTAAGGTTGCAAATATGAATGAAAATCTGATATCCATCTGTGCACTATTTTGCTTATATATGTAATCAAGCCTTTGGCTACGGGTTTTGATCTATTCAGAATAATAATACTACCTTGCGTTCAGTATACTTTGAAAAAAGAAGACAATTCTCCATCCAATTGAAGTCATCCTCAACAGCATCCGGCGTTGACAGGTACTGTTCTACAAAGTCGATATAATGCCAAATTTAAATTACCCTTCTTTGGGGGCTTCGGAATTTCAAGTGTTTTAAACACAACCGGTTGACCAACTTCGACGATTGATAAAAGTTGCCTTAAAATGAAACCATTTAGTTGAACGCATTACACTGAGACGTTAAACATGATTGAGTGGGAACAAAACTTGCCCATGATTTGTGTAGTAAATGTACGCGGTCTTTTTATGATTTTCCCAGGTAGTTTCTAATATTTGCTTCGTTGTTTGAATTTTTGACCCATCCACTGTAGTTTCTTCATTTATTATCTCCTATACGATAAATAATAAATTACGTAAAATTAATATTTTGTCCAATAAACCAAGCAAATAAAAGGCTTTTTTATTTATCACCTAATTGATTCCCAAAAATGTACCTGATTGGTCGAGGCAACTTACGAATGAAAATTTGCATAATCTTCCTTCAGAATCTAGTGTGTGGCCTGCGAGTACGTTTTCGTGTCCTTTAATGACATGAATACGCTTCATAATGAGAAGGGCACCATTGGAAATAAACCTAAAATATAACAATTGAGCTATAATCAAAGTTTTCATTAAAAAAATGACGAGACATAAGTAAATCGGCACACACACACACCGTTCAAAGTCATTTAAAGGGTACCGCTGTGTAGATAGTGTCGAGTCAGAATTCACCGTTTCCTCAATTTCGACCACTAAGGTGTCTGATTCTATTCTGCTTTTGATAATTCGTTTAGTAGATCGATCTTTAGTCTAGAAAGAGAAATAACTTAATTTTCTTCATATTCTACTATTTAAATTTTGTCAATTAACATATTATATTTATACCTAGCAGTAAGGTATCAATTTATGCAACTGGTGAAAAATCCTAAAAAAAATCTGAATGAAAAGAGGATTATTTGGCAATCAAGTATTTTTTTACCTTTCAATGAATGTTTCTCAACAGAATCTACTTAATTTCCGCTTTAGTATATAATTAAATTATAGTAAAGATTGGGACCGTTAATAAAAGAGATAAATTTTAAAATAAACTTTCGTAAAGGAAGAAAAGAGTCACAATTGTGTTCCAATCATCAAAAAAACCACTACAACTATACTCCAGCGATTCCCAACTTCTTTAACCAGACTGATAGAGCAGACTAATGCAGTTTACTACCGTGACTACCACGTCAAATGATTTTATGAGTCATGGATGAGGGGAACAATGATTAATGTCAGAATTCACCAAATCAAAGCCCATTAGTGCTCATTCAGTGATGTGGTGACAAACCGACCTGATTAACCCAGGTCAACTAGAAAGGTAACAGAATGGGGATTTCCTGTTGGATATTTCCATAGTTATCTTCTCTCAAACGCTAGCGAATTAAAAACACAGCATAAAGTTACTAATTAGTATCTCCGACTATATAAAAAAACGAAAAAATTGGTTTCGATTAGGAGACCTCAATGTAAACACAATGTATATATTTGGCGAAATTTTACTTATGAAATTGACTTAATTGCACGGCAATCTATATGACGCTGTTTGCGACATGGTATATTTCTAAGATACTCCGAGACTGAGCAGAAAAAGGTTATTTTTTAGTATTATAAATAGAAACAGAAATTTTCTAGCACATTTTCTTCTTAAACAACGGCCCTTTATAGCACAAATGGAAACAATCGCTGGCTTGACCCGGGTATTATGGATTATTTTACCTATTTCACTTAAACACAATCCATTTTAAATTTTATTATTTTCTTACATAGAAACCGGAATCGTCTTAGACCAGGATATTCCATAAAATTATAGGACTGTTAATCTATAGAGATATTGGACCCCTATTTACGCTATCAGACGTTACCTCATTTTTTAATCAATATACAATATTGTCGTGTTTGATTATTTAGGATTGTTAAATTTTGAATAAAGCTTGACCGCAATTTTCGACAAAGCAGTTTTACTCTCCATACAACAAAGATATAATTTTATTTAAGTAAAGAAACGAATAAAAAACTCTTTGACAGATGATATTAGGGATAGAAGAAACGGACTCATTAAAAGGAAATACCAACCTTCTCAATATATTCAGAAGTTTCGTTGAGTATGTTTAAATGAAAGTCCAGCTCTGATGTCAAAGAAGTGTAATATTTTGTATCGGCAAGCAAATATTCAGCTTCTGATCTCACACAAATAATGCCATGATCGATAATGGTTTTGAAGTGGCACTAAATCCCTTTAATTATATCTAAGCTTTGCCTACTTACTTCATAAAATCCGACAACATTGTCACCATCTGAGATGGCTTGGAGAGACTCTTCAAAATTGGCGCGTTTAACGGTTATTGTATCTTATAAATATTTCTTTATAGTAAATACTTACTGTCATTCTTATTAAAATCGAATTCCAGCATCTAGAACGATTTTAAAAAGCCAGTATTATTAAATCTGCGAAACTTCTATGTAATCGGCAAATGGGAATGTAATGTATTTAGGATTGAGTGGAATGAATCAGTGAAAAATAATTGAATAAATATCAAAAAACATATACTACAGGCCGATTATTTCATAAAATTTATGAAATAATATCTATTTCATGAAAATATCAATATCTAATTTCCTAAAATATTTTTTAATAATTCAACACTTTAATCACGTCTATAACATTTAAATTGGCGTTAGCCTGATAACTCTTGGAAATAACCTTGAACGGACACTTCTTGCTAACTTAAAGGCCGAAAAGGTTTGTAGTCAAGATTTTTACTTTATTTAAGTGCTTAACCGACTTCTAATTTAGTTATATTTTAAGAATTTATTTATTATTCACGTTTATGTGCTATTGATTAAATAGCTAACCACTACCATACAGCTTTAATGAGGCCATGTTAAAATTTATTCGAACCTTATTTCACGTTCTCTAATCAGACACTTAACGCACTAACCCTCCCCACACAACCAGTAGAACAAGTCGAGCACCATATTTACTAAACCATTACAATTAGAAGAATTTTAGAAATATAAAAAATTTACACTTTACATCGAACGATAAAATGAGTGTAAAGTTATAGGAGTACTGACTAAGGTTTCAACTGAGATTTGACCCAAGACAACAACCGGCTGTCAGGTGAATAAGAATTATCTGGTAAAGTGCTGGAGCTTAAAGAATGTCTCGCCAAAACTGAACGACTAAGTCGAACTGTCGAGGCCCGAGGAGGAGTAAACCAATTAGGAACAGCGCGTGATAGATCTGAAACAAAAGATTCAGTAAAGCTTTCATAACAAACATATTCTGTTCATACATTATAGCTATCTTATTACCAAAAGCTTGTCGTGAAGCGATAATGGGGACTCTCCCTGTCTCAGGTGTCGATTCCGCGAGGAGACCTAAACAAAAACAAGGAAATATAACACCAAGGTATGCGATTTATCAGACAAAAAAAGTATGAACAGTTTCTTGTTCACACATGGCGTAAACACACATTTCAAATAAACTATACTAAATGAAAAGGCAAGAATAATTTGGCTAGTCTATTAAGTTATAGTTATATTACGGTGAGTATGACTTTAGATTATCTATTATTCCGGGGTATGCAACTTGCAATAAATAAATATATCAAATCGGGTCGCATCCTATACTATCTTTTCCTCTCTTAACCCAGGTACCCGCGCAACGACCTGCAATTTCTAATCTTTGCATTTTAAATTTAAATAATTATATGTGGATCTCAGCTGAATCAACTCAGCCTCAATATTGCCAGCCTAACAATTGGAACACCTCTTAATCTACAACGAATTTAATCTGGCGTCGTTAACACGATCCGAATTAAGAAACAAACAACGATCTGATCCAGCCAAACTGTCCGCAACCATCTTGATAACACTTGGTCACGTCATTTCCTACTCCACCTCCAGACGTATTTGCTGTTATATATAACCGCTTCAGGCTCACATCACCCGACTTTCCCTATATCTGTTTGTCTTTAGTCGGTGCTAATCCTTTTCATTCAAGCTGTAACTTCACTCTTCTGACAACTACGACAAATGATACTCCACCCGATGAACAGCAAGAATAAGCACTCATTTAACACATCTAATCATACTCATCTCTGCCTTCCACCTAATTTAGGGGATATCAGAGAAGCAACATACACTCACACAACTTCCCACAACGTAACACAAGCCATCTGGGGCGATAGACGTCGACCACCACTCAGGTATATCACTAACGGATGAATCCATTCCATTCAAATACAACTGAGGGCACATATGTATGATTTTATAACATAAACTTCAATAGTAGTTACTGCTCAAGACTTACTGTTACCCGAAAAAGATGGAAGCGAATGACGCCTCTTCAGTCGTTCGAAATTTCTTTTCAAAAGTTCGAACGGAGCCACGGTGGCTACTTTGTTCTTCTTCTCCTCGTTCTCGACATTCGGTTCTGAAAATAGAAAATTCGGACACTTTTAAAGTAAAATCAACGTAATGCCTAAATTCGTAGTTTCCAAAGATCTCTAATGAAAGAGAGAATAATTTTTCGGTTGAATTGGAAGCAAGGCAATACTAGAGAACCAAAGCTATTGGAAACTGAACAGAATGGAAGCAAGGACATTGACAAATGTTAGACCAAAATAATGGTATGTTCATCTAAAGTCTATTGATCTCTTTCAGGCAGTTGCTATTGATGGCTAAAGACACCAAGAGAGAATGAGCCACGCCCGAGTAGAATGTGGAAATTAATTTAGTGATTGATTAATTTGCCAAAACTTGAACGCCTCTACCACAACTATCATATCTGGTCTCATAACTGTCAAGTATTGGGTCCATAAGAGTGGAAGCCAAAAATTAATACGTACAAAGATAAAATTCATGCCTGTAGTTCAACAAAGCATCCTCATGACTTCTAAACAAAAAAACAAACACGTCCATCACCTTCGTAAAGGCAATAAAAGGATTTTGCAAATTATACGCCAATAACAGGTTGCATAGCTGTCGATGTATAGGCCTTCCAAGTAGGAAGTCGCGAGATAAATGCCCAGTGATGATGCACATCCAGTTTCCATAAGGATGCCTCCTTCCCCTCATCGAACTATGGAGTTAATAACATTTCTCCTAATATTCTACAGGCCAAAAAATTGTGAAGTTCGTCCATGCACACTCTATGAAACCAATGACCACAATAGCACCCATTAACCATATCCAGTTAATAAAAGTAGCTTTAGAATCCGAGTTCTTAGCAAAAAACTGCTGCACACTAAAACCTCAAGTGTTGTGAACAATTCACGTAAAAGATTCTTCTCATCAAATCATTGAATATGCATTTTTGAATTTCAAATTCATACCCCAAAGGCGATTGCAACATTCACAAGATATTAGGAAAGTGCACGAAATGGTTTTGAAAACACACAATGGTGCATTTGTGCGTGCTAAGAAGCCTACCGCAGGTTATTGTTCGTGTCGCAGCTGGAAACAGGGAAATCGATACGGGTACAAACGCATCGGCCGATAGTGCGAATAAATCGATGTATAAATCAATGCGAAATAGGTTAGAAATTTATGGGAAAAAATAAAAAAATGCAACGAACGAGAATTCGCACCGAAACAGAACATTTAGGAAAGAATTACTCACATCAACTAAAAAGTGCACGACAATAGACATTATACCCATATTTTCCTCATCAAAATCACAAAACAGATAACGCCAAGTACCACCATACGTGGAAATAAAATGCGCATGGATTGTCTGAGATCAGGAGCACATGAGAATCGACATACGAAAATGAGGTAATGTATGATGTTTTTTGAGGAAAGGAAAAAGAAGGAGAAAGTAATGAGTTTATTTAAACTAACTGCTTCGAGAGGGGGAGACAGAATGACGCCTCGTATGAGCCCCGTAGTTGCGTTCAAAAGCCTCAAACGGAAAAACTCGGCGCGGAGAAAGCGACACGTTTCCGCTGTGTTGGGGTGGAATCATAAAATGATCGTCTAAAGGAGAAACAAATAGACAGCTAGGGCAAATGATAAAATACCCAATGAACTGCAAGAATAAGCACTCATTTAACACATCTAATCATACTCATCTCTGCCTTCCACCTAATTTAGGGGATATCAGAGAAGCAACATACACTCACACAACTTCCCACAACGTAACACAAGCCATCTGGGGCGATAGACGTCGACCACCACTCAGGTATATCACTAACGGATGAATCCATTCCATTCAAATACAACTGAGGGCACATATGTATGATTTTATAACATAAACTTCAATAGTAGTTACTGCTCAAGACTTACTGTTACCCGAAAAAGATGGAAGCGAATGACGCCTCTTCAGTCGTTCGAAATTTCTTTTCAAAAGTTCGAACGGAGCCACGGTGGCTACTTTGTTCTTCTTCTCCTCGTTCTCGACATTCGGTTCTGAAAATAGAAAATTCGGACACTTTTAAAGTAAAATCAACGTAATGCCTAAATTCGTAGTTTCCAAAGATCTCTAATGAAAGAGAGAATAATTTTTCGGTTGAATTGGAAGCAAGGCAATACTAGAGAACTAAAGCTATTGGAAACTGAACAGAATGGAAGCAAGGACATTGACAAATATTAGACCAAAATAATAGTATGTTACAGGTGAGCTAAAGCATTTTATAAATAGAAACGAGAAGTTATAAATAATAAAGGTAATATTAGAAGAAAATAAGAAACTACTTACTTGAGTTGCTAAAAATTCTAGTTCTTTTATGCCCCATTTGAGCGTCATTATCATTAACAGGGACTTGTCTTGATCTTCTATTATCTACAATTAAAAATATGAATAAAGAAAAAATTAAAGATATTTACCAAAATTAGGTGCGCATGGAGATCTTTTTCTTTTAACAAGAGGATTAGAATGCTCGTCCTGTTTATTTGTTGAATCCACATTATTACCAAAAATAAATTTGGAAGTTGATTCAATTAAACAATTTTGCCTAGATTGCAAACTTTCGGATTGATAATTCAATGGGCACTGATTAATATAGTAATCCAGTTCTTCACCTTCTGAGTCGTCAACTTCCATTGACGCATACTAAACACGCTATAAGATTACATAATAAGTAATACCTTATTAATCACAGCAAGCATCGTCGGGGGAAACCTATTGGAATCCATAACATAAAATGTAAATCTAAAAAAAAATAAGATCGAAAAGTGACCGATTGAAAGGATAATACTATGGATAAAAACCTTGAAGGAAAGAAATCAAACGACTGACCTAATAAACAGAATCACTGGCCTTCGTAAGACGCGCACTTAGCAAAGTCTTGTGTTCGAGTTTTAAATAAATCAGTTAAATTGCAATATTTAAACTTTGATTAAAACTAAGTATTTGAATGTTAAAGTTGTTTGTTTAATAAAATTAAACAAACTTTGTTTTAATTTTTTAAATTCGTGTCTCTATTTATAACCCGTTTAAAATAATCTACAAAAATTTGAATCTTCCTTTTGCATAGTTAGTTCACTTTTTTCATATTCTTTAAAACCATTTAATTCCTTCTAATTGTCAGTTAACTTTTTCAAACTAGGCTATGGAATTTCATTTTTGTTTGCTTAATTATTGTCAAGTAACAAATATTACATCGACTTGCTTGTAGACGTTCAGTTCCGTGAACGTTTGGATTTATTGTAGAAAAATATAATTGTGAATTTGGGACATTTATAAACAATATATTTGGCCCATCCACGTTTCCTTCCAAAGCTTACACAGCCGAATGCAATGAGGTATGGTAATTTAATTTTAACTGTCATGTTCCTTTGCTTATGTATGCCTTTCATATGGACTCACATAGGCCTATCAGACTAATAAATATTTACGCTATTACGAATGCTAATACTTCTGGACTTGACTTGGCCTTCTTCCGTCTGTTCGGTTGCTTCTTACGTTCTTCCTGGAAATCATTTAATTGAAATATCTCAAGTATCTCGTCTTTCCTCATCCCTTCATTCCGAGTCTGAATCAGCCCTATCCTGCGACCTTCACCAGCAGAATAAATATATGGACGCAGCATGAACTTCCCTGTGTATATTGACCGCTTAAACAGAGATATATTACCATATTCCTGCATTCATGTGAAAAATACTCGTGTTTGAAATGAAATGGATAACAAACAAAGCTCTGCTAATTTTGCGGCCCGACCGAGTCTGGAGTTAAAAGATAGATTTATTTGCGATTGAATTTTGGGAAGAGGTACCACCTAATTCTCTCTTCATAATCTTATTTAGAACGAAATATTGACATATTAGTCCATGAACGCTAAGGTGAACATCGATATAACACCATCCAATTGGGTCGGCCAGCTATCATCATAGACAATCTGTTCATGTTCCATTCCTAATCAGGGCTCATCTGGAAAATAGGAGAACCGCAAGCTCGATCGACGATGCTTTCCTGCATCTTTGCAGTTTAAAACCAATGCTTCGCAGACATGCTTCAATGGCACGACAATTTGATGGCAAAATATCTAGTCTAATTTAATTTCGCGCGTCGATATTTACTTCATTATGATGTTGCTTTTAGCAGTGGTCACAAAATGTTTCTGATCAAGCAAAAGCAGCCAAGGTGAAACGGTTAATAATCTTTCATCGATCTGACTGAAAAATTCCCAACAACCTCCTAAAAGTTCACTGTCGACCTTATTCCATTTCCATTTTATAAACTGAAATACAATCAGGCCCAAAACTTTAAAAAAAATAAGTCAAGAAAGTTTAAATTGTTTATTAAAATCGAAACACATACACAAAACATGTCCAAACTGACAATTTGGACACATTTATTTTCTTCGACTCTTTAACTAAAAAGTAGAAAAGCATGGGGTTAGGCTCAAAGAGTAACCTTGCGCACAAAAATAAACAAGGGACTCACAATTCTATCGAAAGTAGCATCAAAAAGTCCCGATGACGCCTCTTGGATAGGATTCACTGGAGCAACTAGTCCTCGGGCAGTGTCATCGCCTGGAGAAGCCTTGCGTTTTAAACGATGCTGTGGAAATGACGGCATCATCTCTGGTTCACAAGCTTTACCGAGAGAGAAAGAAAGACCAGTAGATAAAATATTTTACATCAGTTCATTGAGTTATAATAGGATTTTTCGAAGAATAGGAATGAATAAGATGTAAGCTACCGCACAGTGAACGGAAAGTAACTTTCTATCAAGATTCCTAGATGTTCAAAATCGCGCAAAATAAAGTTTTTTCTTCGGGAGCAGAGATGATGATGGAGAATTAGAGACATATGCTCAAGAACTATTCTAGAGATTGAAGAAAGTGGAGTTGTACAATTTTAAATCTAAAAGTAGAGTTTCCACTCCCTTACTCTATAGCTGAGCATAAAATGTGTATGAATTTTAGGCAAAAAGAATAGATGAACCAAAATCAATATTCCCTAAAATAGTAAAATATTGGCAATTTGAAAGCAACAATGGCATTGGTTATCAACTCCATTTACACAAATGTCCTTAGTTTAGTGATTAGTTTAGATTTCTCCGTCAATTACACGAAACTTTTGCTATTATTTCATGTAAAACCGGATTATTGGCAACAATCAGCAAAACAAGCTACCCAAATCAGTTTGTTCATTTTACAGCGAAAAAATAACTTTCGAGCACTGGGCATTTGATTGAATGGAAGTTCGAGCAATCGATTATTAAAATAAAGTTTTAAACAAAGATAAATTATATTGTCAAGTGCGGGGTGACCGATAGACTTACCTCCACGTGGTGCACCCTGGGCAACGTATATTCATACGGCAAAAAGTCCACAAACCGGCAGTTGACTTCTGACTTCAAACTACCATCCCCCCCCCCCCACTGTATGTCATATTCGACTTCTTCCACAGTACTCACCTCACCTTTTTTTCTATATTCATATTTAAAACACTCTTTTGTCCCCCACCCCCTCTCCACTTTTTTCACTTTGATGCTCCTTCCCCTTTGTGAAACCTGAAGTCAACTAAAGGGCTAGTAATAACCATTTGATAAAAAATAAAAATATTGTCAAATGCTGGAATAATAAAGTTATATCCTAATGAGACGCGTCAAGTGCGTAAAATAAAACACCTAATGATTAAAATGAACAGGGGAGTAGCCAACAGAGAAAATGGTATTTTGAGGAGAAAATGGCGATAAATTAGGTTTATGTTCATTGCATATATGCACCTCAGTTGTAATTCATAGTTGAAAGTCATCGCAATTTCTTTCAGTTATGGTAATGAGCTGATGACTGGATTGCCACGAACACATTTGCCAAACTCGAATACTAGTTCCTGATTTTGGACAAAGTAAAATGTCTTCCCTCGGTAGGAATTTAAGATCTAATAGCAATATTTAACTAACTATTAACTCGTGAAATAGTTAGTAACAATCAAAACGAGAGAAATTGGCAATTATTATGAACCATAACCCGCACTGATTGGGACAGGAACGGTAGGTTCCCCTTTTTTCCTTGCCTGTTATAAGAACTAGTCCACTGCCCACGATAAGGGACGAAAGCTATGCTCTTTCAACATACAAAAAAGTATAACATTGAAGTAACGCTTAAGTTTGGAGCCGAATGGTTAGTCTAAATACATTCAAATCAATAGATTTAGCGCATATTAAAAAAAAAGCATGGAGTCAACTTACGAAGAGGATGTTCTCTAAAGTAGGAGCTTTGACAGCATTCCCTAGCTCGAGCGCGCTTGGTAGGGTCGTACATAAACAGAAAGTTCAGAAGACGGAAACCTGCATCAGACAACCAAGGGAAAGTTTGACGAAGGTTATTGTACCTAGAGGGTAAAACGGTCAAGTGATATCAAGCATAACTTCATTAAAGCACAATATTTGGACATAAACATACGGTTGAACCTTCAGATTGATTTTCTTCAGCACCGGTAGATCAGCCATACCCTAATAAAAAACATTAAATATACCAGATAATGAACAACCTACGGGCCAGATACGCTCATTAGGGGTTCCCAGGAGAGAGATAATCAACTCAAGTTGACTAATCTCATTTTTGCCCGGAAAGAGAGGCTTATGAAGAAGAAGTTCTCCCATAATACAACCAGCAGACCTATATAAAGCATATAATTAGACATCGAAATAGGAAATCTTACCAAATATCAATCGCTTTCGTTTGCATCTTATCTCCAAGCAAAACTTCAGGAGCACGATACCAAAGGGTGACAACTTTCGGTGTCATAGGATGTTGGGAATTAGAGGGTCGTGCAAGACCGAAATCGGCTAAGATAAATGAATGAAACGTGAACGAAATGAGACTTACCAATTTTAATCAAACCCTTGTCAGTCATGAGGAGATTCGACACCTTTAGATCACGATGAATAATGAAATTTTCATGGAGGTATCGCAAACCCTTAAACACTTGTAGCATGATGCCCTTAACTTGAGCTTCCGTGAAGGAATTCGGCATGTTGTCTAGCAAACTTGCCAAATCCTGTTCACAGTACTCCATTGAAAGAAATATACTAAACAAATTAGAAGAGAAAAAGTAATATACAGCAATTTCAGCCTTGATTTAAATCCAGAATCTCAACTGATTCATTCAAATCTACCAACATATAAAGAGAATAACAAACTATACCTATCAAGGCTGCGTCCAACAACAACCTCCTTCAATTGAACGACATTAGGATGTTTGATACTCAACAGTAGAGTGATTTCTCGGAGACTACTAATGGGAATGCCTAACAATGGTTTGTAATTTAAAACGAGAGAAACCAACCATCGCGTTCATTCTCCATTCGAACTTTCTTCAAAGCAACGATTTCGCCCGTGACAGAATCTCTTGCTCTATCTTTTAAAGTTTTGAAAATTATACAAACTTACAGACAATACCATACGTGCCTTCTCCAATTCTATTAAGTTTTTCGAAATCCGAAACACTTCTACATCTCCCTTCCTAGAGAAATTATTATTTAAATGAAGGCAAATTACTCTGAACTGCGATGGAATCTTAAATGGAATTAATTTCTTTACTCCAAATAGCTTCAGTTCATCAACAGTAGGATCCATCATTTTAACAGTTTAGACAGAGTGTGCTAACTATTGAGGCCACAATGAACACAAACAAATAGCACAGAATAGTGTGGAATGAACCACCTTAAAATAAAACCATTTTCTTGATTCATGGCTCCAACTATTATAAAATTTAAGCCTATTAAATTAAACATTTTTTCTAATGATATAATTTGTACTATAATGTCAGTTATGACATTTTTAATCTGATCGATACTTCATTAGATTTTCATTATTTACTAGTATTTTCGGATATATCTTTCCCATTTCAAATTTGGATTTTCACATAAAAATAAAAGTCCTGTTTAAATTTTTTATAATTATTTCATTCAACCCCGGAATACAATTGATTATTCAATATATATATATATATATATATATATATATATGGAAATTTAAACATATATATTTTACTTCATTTATGTTTATGCTTCCTAGAAGAATATTTTGGGTTCTTTTGAAAGCTACTTCCTATTGTAGCATTCGGTCTATATTAACACAACAACTAAATAATAATAGCTAAATAATGCTATTTGGGGAATTTAAATAATTATCGCCACTGAAATAAAGTTAGTAAATATCCGACACAAGTATAAAAAATTAGCAATGCTTTCCTTCATTGTTCCATTCAGTTCGTCACCATTTATGTTAGTTATCAGTTTTCAGTATAAAAGACATCTAGTTCGGCTAATAAGCATGCTTATTTTAGGTCAAAACAGAGTCCTGTTCTTACTAGCATTCATTGAATTCCGTTTTAATTGAATTAATTGTTTGGATCAACGGCGATTTGATAACAAAAGGACAGAAAATATTCGTATCTAGTACAACTAGTTATAATATATTTTGTGTTAAAATCAACTTAAATAGCCTCCCTTTGTAAAAATAGCACCACTAAACTGCTGATATTCACTCATTAATAAAAAGTCTATTCATAAAGCGACATGTTTAGTTCCTACTATCGAATTCGTGTGATGGATAAAGTAGAAATATGTAATGAGGAAAGAGTTGAAACACGTATGATATTGAATGAAATGGTATTTGGACGTAAGGGATCCACTTCCGCGATATTAGAGAGTCCGTTTTTTCATATATTTCTAATATCATGAACGCTCCCATCTTAAAGTGTTCCACAAGCGAAAAGCAAACAATTAGTATATTATATTGACTTTTTATATTTTCATAATTTCTCCACTTAAATAATAAATAAAATATTAGGAAATGAAAGCGTATTATAGAATCCTACTGATGTTTAAGAAGTAGAATATTTAAGCATTCTACCCTAACCTACTGCGGTTTAATTTTATTGAACCCCAAGTAAGAAACAGTTAAGTGATTTCAAAAAGTTTGATTTTGTGCAAATTATAAAACTCGATTTTTGATTTAGAATAAGTCATAGTCAAGCCATGTTCAACTACTTAGAAATTAATGAAGCGTTACTAAGTCATAATGCTGGCCTACAAATAGAAAATGGAATAAGATGTTACTCTGAAGGGGAGCTAATAAATACATAATAAAACATAAAGTATAAGTAAGATTAATATTCCTTACCGTTCTAATATTGCCATGTTATTTAGAAAAGCCATTCACCATACCCCAATTAATACAAGAAGATTGTCGTGGATTCTTTCAATAAATCGTGTTCGAGATATGCCATGAAAAATGAGTTCTAACTTGTATACGATGTTAGGACTAAACATATGAGGTAGTGTTGCATATGTTAACTTACAGTAAACAAGTGATACACAATCTGAGTTGTTTTGGTGCAAGTTACATATCTTTTATCGAGTTTTAAATACTATCTAAATGGAAATTCTTGGATTCTTTCGAGCGCATGAATCGCAATCGGCAAGCAGTAAAATAGCATTAGTTCGAATGGATAACAGCANTCCACATATATTGGCGTGGGTAATGAATAGGTAAGGTTAATTCTGGTCAAGAAGAGGAATAGCAATGAGCAAGTTTTTCATAAAGCGCCTCCAAGATATCTCTAAACTTGCAGGTCGAGCACTGCTAATACCTTTCGAAAGGTGCTTTCGAATACGTGCCATATATTCATTAGAGCATGAAATCTTGGAAAAATATGCGAGTTCTAACATAAATGACCAAAAAGTAATTTCCAGTTTCCACGAAAATGATTATTACTGTTTTTGTAATGGTGACGTAGCAGTCAACCGGTACATCTGTTAACATGCCATCTAAAGCTATTGATGTGGATCCTAGTGTACGGATGGGTAATCATAGTAAATAATTATTGTCATCAATAGTGGTTGCGAAATGTGAGTTATTCATAAGGGCGGCAGTGGAGCTTAAAAAATGATTTTCACTCTTTATATCATTTCTTTGTCTCATTTACTGCAAAATTTTACCTACTACTAATGTTACCTACTGGGGTGCGCGATAGACTTACCTCCTAGTGGTGCACCCTGGGCAACGTATACTCATACGGCAGAAAAGTCTATTAATCGACAGTTGACTTCTAACTTCAAACTATCATGGCCTACTGCAAGTCATATTCGACCCCTATTCACAGTACTCATCTTACCTTTTCTGAGCATTTGTGTCTGTCTGTCTCTTTTAAATCTGTGAATCACTCTTCTATTCCCCCTCTCGAATTTTTCTCACTTTAATGCTCCTCCCCTTTGTGAAGCCCGAAGTCAGCTAAGTGGCTAATGATAACTATCAAAATGCCTGCCATTTGAAATAAATAACTAAAATGTTTCCTACAACTTGTTAAAATTATCTTATTTCTTGTACTCTGTATGTTTGATATTATTCACTTATATGTCCTCTTACTCTGGTTTGGACATGCTTTCGCGTCCTCTCTCAGGGTCCAACTCATCGAGATCAGGTTCGAAATAGGAAAATTACAACTAACTATTTCACACTTTAGTAATGGTTTAACAGTATTAACTGTCACCGGAATCTGAGGCAAATTCCTCTAAAACATGGAAGAAATTTGTTTGGCCTCGTAAAAATTAGCACTGAAGCGTCGAGAAAGATGGAGGAAAATACTGATATGAAGGAGACATGAGTAAGAGCTGTATCAGTCGTCAAAGAAATACTACGGAAAGGATGGCCTGACTTCAAACGGACCCTATGAAACCTGTCTCAAACAAAGAAGGCGTAGCTTAAAAAGGGGTGGGGGAGTCAGGATAAAATATAATCTCAAATAATTATTAATACCTTTTTTTCTACGCCGAAATCTACGTTATATTTCATAATTTCTTTCTATATTAGTTGAAAATATCACTTTTTCCTAACATTGTTTATATGAGCTAGTAAAAAAGTAAATTATACTGTTCGAGCTGAACTGTAATGCGATTTCGTTATGACAACGAGATGGCAATTTCCTTCTTCTTAATTGGAATATCGTCCTACTGTTAGTAATACTACATTAATAACATTATAAAGGAAAGTCATAAATGGTCCTTAAAAAGTTGAAAGAATTTTGAAGTGGGTTAAGAAAATTCAGGTAAGTTTATTTGCAAAACTAGAAACTCAAATCAGACCAAGTCTTTTTTCCTACTCTTGCCATATTCCATTTCCTTGAAATCAATTCATTCAATTCGTCTCGGTTAATTACTGGGTGGATTTACTCACTTTAGAAAATCATTCAGGTAATGAGTAAATGAGTTTAATCAACTACTTGTCTTTGAATTTATTTATTTATTTATTTCAAATGGCAGGCGTTTTGATAGATATCATTAGCCCTTTAACTGACTTCGGGCATCACAGGGGGAAGGAACATCAAAGTAACAGAAAGTCGAGGGGTGGGGAACAGAAGAGTGATTTACATATGTAAAGAGACAGATACAAAGGCAGAGAAAAGGTAGGATGAGTACTGCAGAAGTGGTAGAATATGGCATAAAGTTGGGCCATTGTAGTTTTAAGCCAGAAGTCAATCGCCAGTTAATAGACCCTTTTGCCGTATGAGTATACGTTGCCCAGGGTACACCACGTGGAGGTAAGTCTATCACGCACCCCTTGTCTTTGAATTTAAACTTGTGAATCTTTATGCTCCCAGTTGAAATATCGTCATTCGAGATTTTTGCGTCCCTCACCACGCAATGTGATGAAGAAAGGAGATACTATTGGTTAGAGAGCCTTATTGCATTTTTGGAGGACCACAGAGAGATAAATGAGGGAAGTGGTGAAATTGTTTAAATGAGCGTCAATATGCTGATAGGGTCGGTGTAGGCATGACAAAGGAAATCCATATATAGTCATCAGTAATACGATATGGGTGCGGTACTGGAGCATGTGACCACGGTGAGTGTTGGCAGGGCGTTAGAGTCCATAAAATTTATCTCGACTGATAGTAATCACAATTTCTCTTTGCTATTGACGCAAAATCTAGTTTCAGTTGTTTAAATTGAAAACCGAGTTATTATCCATCTGTTCGAAAATGGTAATTTGTGGTTGCAAATATCACAGTATTAAAGAGAAAGGTGTTCTGCAAGAAGCACGTTTTGAAAAGCTGCTTTTCTCAAGACGGATTGGCCAGGAATAAACCGATTCGGTTCTCAGAAATGTCAAAATAATCTATCTCTTCGTTGTCAGTTTGGCGAGGTTTCTTTAAAATGTTTAAATTATCCGTCTGCCTCCCTCAAAATTGGATATACAATTTTCGATGACTGCAAACGAGGCCTCAATTAACCTACGTAATTTGAATAGAACACTTGGCGACACATTAAAATCGTAAAGCTTCATCATGTAAACACATGATCGAAGCCGTCTGATCAGAGCTGGTGGGGGAAATTGGAAGTAAACATTTCAATTAACATTGAAGGTTTAATAAATGCCAAATATAGATATTAGAAATCAGGTAAATTGAAGTCTACCACCTGGTAAAGGTGCCTTAGCACACAACTTACATCTGAGTGGTACATTTGTGTTAATATCGGGAGTAAAGTATCCAAAAGAAACTTTCAAATAGAAATTGGTAGCATTTAAGTTTAATATTGGTAATAAGAATAAATTTTGGCAATAATTAATCA